TAGAAATTGGTGTGACCAATGATTTAAGAGTAGTTATGTGACACACACAGATACTGAATCTTATTATACTAATGTAAAATTCATCAAAAATGATAGGGCAAGTACTACCACCCCTACTCCATAGTATACCATAACCTCACATTTCATAACCAACTGAAATAAGTAACTAAATTTTGTGAAATCAAGCTTGACCTACAAAGAGGCAGAAAAGTGCAGTTGAGGCAGTCAAACGTTGGTAAATTCCTTTTTGAGCCAATCAAAATTAAGATCATTCATGAAATGAATTCATGGCATATTCACAGAATAATTGTTGGTAAAAATCAGTTAGGTTAACAACTTCTAATATACAGGAAAGCCAGTGTGTTTTGGTAACACTATGTTCCAACAATGGCTTTTATGTCATGTTGTTTAGCAATATGCAAAAGTATAACTGAATATTATTATTAGTCTGTGTACTGAAAGTATAAAATGAAATGTATAGACAACAAAACTGGAAAATGTTTTGTTGATTTCTTAACTTAGAGTCTCAGGTTTGTTTCTTATTATAAATGTTAGTGATATAACAGAAAAAAATTGGATCTATTTTTTTTTTACTTTCATGATAAATTTTATGCACTTGTTTCTAGACTAGGTGATCTCACACTACATAATTAGGCTTATTATACAAACATTCACTACACTTATAAGGTTTCACAGAACCCCTCTCTCCCTTGCACCATCGTCACTAAAATCATAATGGGCAGACAATAACTGAACTCCTCTATCTGGATAAATGCATTTTGGCTTTTATGACTTCTATTTTGAGAAATCAAACGTGACATAAAACACACTAGCTTTTATATAGGTTTTATAGGTAATGACCTTCATTTATATTAGAGGAGCACCAGTAGCAAACCAGAGATGGACTTCTTCACTTCTAGCTTGTCTCCATTATCCTTATTGAAGTTCATAGCGAATGGCCAATGTAGTGGCTTCATTTGAAGGCTTGTTAAAGTGCAGTGTCCAACAAAGCTCTAGCAAAACCAGCATCTACCAAAAACTCATCCTTACATCCATGTATCTTCGTGGGCACTTACCAAGTCACATCCAGCTCAGAGTTACCTGAGTTGGCCACCTCATATCTTGACACAAGTAAGCTAATCACTGTACATGTCAGAATTGATAGAATCAACCACCAAGTTCCACTAATTTAAAGTAACTTAAAACAGCGGTTGCTATATATGTTGTTAACAGAAATAAATAAACCTGTGTCTTCCCCACTTTTCTGTTGTGTTGTTCTCTTTTTTCTTTTTCTGTATCCTGTTACATTTCTTTTTTATCTTTTTCTCTTACTTTCTATTCTGCTTCTCTTCATCTTTACATGTCTATCTTAGATTCTCTTCACCCACTCTTTTGACTTTTTAATCACCACTTCAGACTGTTTTGTCCCATTCAAAATATTGGCTTTCATTTATTATCTTATCTTGCTTCCTTTTGTTTTTCTGGCCAATTCAAATGGTTTCTTTCTTATTCCTGTAATTCTTGTTGAGTAATCCTCTTCAGTATTGTTTTAAGTGCCTTTCAGATTCCTTCTTTTGCTCCAGTTTTGTTCCATTTCTTTTTCTCAAATTTTGCTATTATATAACTTGGCTACTTTCTTCCTTGCATTCCAAGAACTCCTTGCAGGAAGAAGTTTTTTTTTTTCCACTAGTTTTCTCACCTTTTCTTCTGACTCTTTCAGGTTTTCCTTTCCATCCTTTTTTTTCTATTTTGAACACCATATTCTGTCATTTCTACTATTTTCTAATCCATCAATCTGTTTTGAGAGATCTTACTAATTATTATCTTAAATCCTGAATTTCTCCTTCAAATTACATTACTCTGACTTCCTATCTTTCCTCAACAATTCCAGAGTTACTTGCAGGTGGCCTAACCATGTGTTTTTATTTTTTCAATTCTTTTTTATTTTATTCATCATCTTGTAAATATGTTGTATTTTATTCCTTGCTTTGTCATTCCTATTTGATTTTATCAAGATATTTTCTATATCTAATCTGCATCTTTTTTATATTTGGGAACAGAATATTTCAATTGTCTTTCCATGAATTTCTTTTTTTGTTTCAAATAGAGATTTTTCTAACTTGAACAAGCTACTACTTCTTTCCCTCTTCCTGCTATCAGTATGTAGACTAATCTAGTCAAAAAAGCATTAACCTGCTTGAATGCATGACACTAGAACTTTGTTCTTTTGGTATACTGTTATTTCTGTAATTGTAAACATTGTATTTTAATATTTGCTTATATTGGGCAGAAACCAGAACTCCATCAATACAGTAGAGATCACCAGCTCCAGTTACGATTAAACAGCCCCAAACTTGGATTTTACCTTTTCCATGTTTAGCTGAAGGTTGTAGATAATTTTCTTTTAATCTTTCACCACTCCTTCAATGAACTACATGGTGTGTATTGGTTCCAAAAATCTCAAACTTTGACTCATCAGACAAAAGTGCTCTTCTCCACAGACAGGTTGTCCAATTCTTTTGGATTTTGAAAACTTAAGTCTTTTCTGCTTGCTACCTTTGTGGAAAAAATGTTTTCTTCCTTCACTGCACCTTTTCACTCTTCTTCACACAATTTGTATTGCACTGTGGAAAGGTCAATTATAACATTAGTGGTTCTTAGAAATTCAGCAGCAAAACAGCTGCTAAATATTTATCTGTCTATGAGTGAAATAAACCTAAACTACTTAACATCTGATCTGAAAAGCTTGGGTGAACTTCTGGTCCTACTCTTCAGAGGTCCAGTTTCATTGTATGTGTTTATCATTTTTTCAACTCTTGTTTTTTATGTTTTTGACTTAGAAATTTCATGCTGACTGTAGCCATCTTTATAGAATGCTATATATATATTACTCCATCAGAAAACATGCATATTGAAGCTATATTTTATTCTTGAAAGAGCAGCTATATTGAAATAATAGGCTACCAAACATTTTATCTACATTTTGCAGAAGCAAAAAATAATTGTAAAAATCAAAGAAAACTTTTTAATACTTTTACAACAGAAAATTTATAAATGTGTGCAATGTTATTTTATTTGGACATCAGTAGAATATCCACAGCATTGTAACTTGTAAAACTACATGCTCCTTTTTTTTCAAAATCACAATTATTAACAATTTTGACATTTTTTATTTAATTTTTTAGAATTCATTTACACCAAACACATAGCTTGGAATGTATTTGAATAAATAAGGGTTTTAGATGAACATTATTACCTTGTTTCATCCTGGACACATTTTACACACATGACTGATTGGTGATCTCTAACTTATATAAAGCAGTGGTTAATTATAAGCAGTTAAATGTATTTGAGGAAAGTATACTTACTTTGGAGTCATGCAGAATCTTTTTATTATTCTAACAATGTGTACAGAAAATAAATTTATGTGATTCCCAAGTAAGTTAGTTTTATCATGACTTTTAAAAATATTTTTAGTAGTCAGAAAATTAATTTTATCTTTTTGAGTATACTACAAATTTCTTTAGTGGTGAATTTGTTTTTACAATGAAAAGGAGTACAACGTTAAAATAATTTCACAATAAATAATTTATTATAAATAGGGACCAGCCCTAAAAAGATTACATGTTTCAGTGTTCTACACTGACATCCTCAGCAGTAAAAGTTAAAGGACGATGGTGGTGTAGAACACTGAAACATGTAGGTTTTTTAGGGATGTACCCTGTTTTAAATAAATTATTTATTGCACAATTATTTTAATGTCATACTCCTTGTAATTGTGTACATATACAAAGGTGCCATTTAATGTATGTAAATTTTTGTTTCTTCATTTAGTAAAAAATTTCCTAATTTACTATTGTTGATAGTATTTTTAATAATCTAAGATGAAAAAACATTTTAATTTTACTAACTTGGTATGTGTCAGGCTCTTGTAGGTCTATTACATTCTTGAGGTCGGCATGACATCACAGTCATATGATTTTTTATGTAGAGCTACCATATACATGTGCATATTCTTCAGTTATCATTCATGTATTATTGTTTGATAGTCAAATTATCAATTGCTATGTCTTATCAATACATGGAGAAGTTGTTAGTCAAGGCATTAGCGAGATATTGAGTAAATTTACAATTAATTGGGCTTGATTATTGTCCCTACCAGCACCCTGTCAACTCATGGATAAATGACCTGACAGAATAGCCCAGTGTGCAGTACCCAGATTTGTACAATTACCTTGTGTTAAAAACATATCAGAAGACATCATTTACATGATATAAAATGAGCTGAACACACATAATTATAGTCAGATTATGGCTCCCACAGCTTTTCTATTGCTTCTTGTGTTCTGCAGTTGATAGCTTTCAGCCACAACATTCTTCTTTCCTTTTCAGTAGCTTGTTATTGGGGAAAAACATGCACTAAAAAGTAAACTACCAGGTCGAATCAGTTTTTAAAACAATTATTGACAAATTGTCTAAGCCTATTTTAGGCTAGGAATAGAATCCCACAAATGTTTTCTTTATGCTTACTATTAAGGGGAGCTGGAGGACTGGGTATGAAATTGAAGGAAAGTTCAGGTATTTTCAACTTGTTATTAGAGCAATTGAATACACAACAACTCTTCACCATATTTGCAGGTTTGGAAAAACAAAAGTTCATTGCAAACACAAATAGTTGTTATGAATGCGAGTCTATACAGTGAACAAGTGTACAGAATGAATAAAATTTTCCCTTCGTCACACTATTTGTTTGCTCCTTTGCCTCGGTATCTATGTGGGCATTGCATTGTGGGAGGGCAAAGTCCCTGGATGTCTGACCTCAAGAATTTAGCTTTCTGCCAAAAAATAAGTAAATAAAAAAACTATAACCAAGTACCATTTCAATGGATTTTCTAGTGAGACTTCTCATTTTCTGAATCTCTATAGTTTTGAAATAAAAAAGTGTTTGTGATCATAGCAGTATGTATGTATGTAGCTCTTTAAATAATTTGCTATGTTAGGTCATTAAAATCTGTGAACTTTTGGAGAGCCAAATCACTCAGTGCTGCAGGTGTTAGAGCTATTGCTGGACAATGTCTACAGCTTGAAGAATTGGATTTGGGTTGGTGGTATGTATAATACTGAAGTATAGCAAAAACAACTAAAGTTTTCAGTCTTTTTAAGTATCTTCAAATCTTTAGTTGTTTTCAATTTTAAGTTTTATGAGCAAAAGTAAAGGGTTTAAAAATAAGAATCTTTCAATTATAGAGTTTATTTGAATAAAGATATTCAAATTTATCCATTAACAAACACTGAGTAAATGATTTGAACTTAAGAATTTAAAAAAGTCTATGTTTTGTTGTTTTATTGGGTTTTATGTATTGTACTTTCATCCACTGGAAACAATTTCTAACATTTTTTTTGGTCTTGAACTAGTGTATAATTACTAATAAGGAATAAAACAATCTTTAGTAGTGGTGTATTCTCTTTTATGTTAATTTTATTTTGCTTATAACATTTAACTCTGGTAAGTATTTTTCTTGAATAGTGAACTGAAGAATAATGAAAAATGGTTCTATGAATGTTGAAGCATATGTTCTTTATTTACGAAAGTGTACAAAAATAATGTTTTTGTATAAGAGTTTTGGCTCACTTGTTTCAATAATTGAAAATAAGTACTTCTGTAAGTGGTTCATTAGCCAGAAAACATACATAAAAAAAAAGGCTAAGGGCCCAAAACGTGTTTATTAAACATTCCCAAATAACAAGAATTTCTCCATCATTATTCTATAGAAACAAGAACAAATATAATTATGCTAACAGATATACAGAGCTAAATATAAATAATAACAAAATCTAGTAATAACAGTTTTAAGTGATATGAAAATTGTTTTGCAGAGAATGAAGCAACGTTTTAATTAGCAAGGTATTTTATTATCATAAGTTCAGCTTCAAAAATTAAATTGGGAAAATAAAAAATCTGACTTCTTAATTTCAGTACCCAAAACTATTGGATGAATGGCTACTACAAATGTATGCTTACTTTGAAACATTCAGACGAACATTTACTAATATACAACTTTGGAAAAACTCAGAAATATTGTAGACTAACATGTATATTAATTAACAATATAATTGATCAGCAGTTTTCCAAAGTGAAGTATGCATCATATCATGGCAGACACATGTTGTTGTTGAACATATGACATTTTCATGTTTTATTCACAATTTATGTGCCAATTTAGCACTGATTCAAATTAATTCCCATACACAGTCAGAAAAGCAATCAAACTCAATCTAGATCTATATTCATGTTATTTTGTTTATAATAGGCCTAAACTTGTGAGTGACTTAGCAATGTAACTTAGTTGTAAGTTGTAAAACTAAACAGTTTAAAGCTAACATTAACAATAAATGTCATTGTAAGCATGGTAAGGTTAGGTACTAAGGAGGCTTACTTGGCTTCATGATATGACCTCTAGAATGACAATATAAAATTGTTAGAAGAATTTGATGATAATTTGTTTCCATTTGAATTTAAAATAAAGAATACTGGAAGCATGAGATCTTGAGTCTCAATTCTGTTTATTACATTTCTTGAGCCAAAGTATAGCTTCATGAATAACTTAGTTGATGTATATGTTCTTTTAACAACACAGTTCTCTGAGCAATAGGCTCCAGACAATGGACCCCAGTGAGGGCCTAGGCGGCTCCCACAACCCCGACCTATCTTGTGAGCACCTGTGGCACTCACCTCCATGAGTGGTTTCAGTTGATTCAACTTCTCTATGCTGCTATCCCTGATTACATCAATGCACAAGGCATAATTAACAAAATTCCTTATTGGATCAAAAGTTTAGATTTGTGACAACTTTCTTGACAGGAAATTTAAGGAATATTTTCTGATTCGATCCAAATGCTCTTCCATTAACAGATACAGTGTCTGGTCCCTATAAGACTATTATAATTTCATGTAAGATTATTTATTTATTTATTTATATATTTATTAAAATTTACTTTTATGTTCAGCAATACTATTAGCATGTTTTGCTATGCACCATTTTATTACATTGTTGTAGTTTTATATTCTTTTTGGTTACAATAATTCAAAATCAGTTTTGTAACCTGTGACATTCATAGACCCTTGATAAAGGCATAGGCCAAAATGTCGGGTAGAATAAAAAAACACTTATGTGAAGTTGTTTGCCATCTTCATTGAAAGTGTTTTCCATCCTTCACTCAGCACTGAAACTCTAAAAAAATAATAAAAAATATTATATTTTTCATATAAGAGCATTGATTTTGGGTTTTCCATCATGGCCCTTCTCAACAGACAATGGATAAATTTGAAATGGTTATTAGCATTTTAAGGAGGAATTCTTCACAGAAATGGAGAAAGATGTGGAACACTCTGGAGGTAGGCAGCACAACATTGCATTCATATAGACAGTGGATGGTAATACTACTGATGTTGTAGATTTTAGAATGATGTTATTCTTTTATTCAACTGCAGAGCCTTTAAGTGATTGATATAATATATCCCTGGTTGCATCTCAGGCACATGAACTCATACTACTGATGAGATATTCAGTGAATGTTGTTTGTCATTAAAGTTGACCCTTTTAACCAAGACTGTTTTGAAGACACATTTTAACTGAACTTGTGGATATAGTTGTTTGGTAATTTTCTTAAACATCTATGAAATAGTACCTTAGTGGAATATTACTAAAGTATCAGTTTGATTTGCAACATCTAACATAACAGAAGGGATATTTAGTTTTTCAGATTTGGTGTGGATTATTGTATTTAGCAATGACAATGGAAAACTATTTGTTTCTATGTGCTATTTTAATGTTCTCAGCTTCTGCTTCAAAAAAGGTTTTGATTTTTTCTTATCTTAAGTACTATGTACAATAGGATTTCAACCATATTTTCTTTAAAACTTGAAGGAGTGAAACTTTTAAAATGTGAATGAAGTCCAGTGAAAGTGGGTTTATGATAGACTTTAGTGATAAGTATACCCTGGTTATTTAAGACATGAACATCTAAAAATGAAAATTTGTCATTTTGTTGATTTTGAGCAGTAAACTTTACACTGAGTGCTCACAAGTAAATATACACATAATTTTTCATCATTTAACTGATTTATGCTAACTCATTTGTGTTCACAGAGCACTATATAA